TTTCTCCTCCCTTTGCTCGGCTTCTCTTCCCGTGAGCACACACCTCAGCCGAGGCTGCGTTCGTGCTGCACGCTTCCCGCCGCACGTAAATGGGCGTGTGCAGTCGGTGTTCTTCTGTGATTCCTCTGGTGCTGCAATTTGACGTCTGGGAGTCCGCCGCACGGGCACAGGCGAGGTTGGCCGCGGAGGGTCCCTTTGTGTCCCGTCCCTCAGTGCACTCGTCTGCTGTTGTTTCCGGTGTGGGGTCTTGTTTCGTTTTGTTGTTTTTGCAAAACTCGTGGGGTCCACTGCCTAGGTGCCTCTCGGGTGCACAGCTAGGAGGGAAGTGACGGAGTCACGGTTATACGATACTGTCAAATTGGTTTCCCAAGTGTTTGTACCAATTTATATTTTCACAGCAGAATACAAGTCCTTGCCGTCTGGTATCCATAATAGCACTGCGTAGGGTAGGACCTTTTCATTTTTGCTGGTTTGGTTATTGTAAAAAACAAAAGGAAAGCAAAAAAGGGACCAACACCAGACAACACGTGAGGCGCCTTTTGAATGTCTGTTCTCCTGTGCAATAGCTATCCGTGCATTTGTCTGTTTGCTGTTGGGCTGTTTGTCTTCTCTCTTCATAACGTGTAGGATTATTTACATATCTTAGACACTGTTCCTTTACCAGTTTAAAGAACTGTCAAGACCTCTCCCGGTTAGTGGCTTGTCATTCAACCTTATTGTGTGTACGAAAATGAATATAGTATGAATATAGGCAGCCGTATGAATATAGTAAAATTTATTGTCTTTTTTTTGGTCACAGTTGAAGTCTTTGGGATCTTGTTTAAATCTGAGATTTTCAATTTACTTTTTAGCAACATGGCTCTTTGTTCAAAGGAACCCACAAATTGCCCACACTGAATGCCCACCCCTTAGAGGACCAGTTCTTTTCTTGAATAAATTTTCCTGGGCAAACTATCATAAAACAAAGATCTAATTGCCATGCAGATTAATTTTACACATTTTCTTTTTAAAGATTTTTATTCATTTATTTTTAGACAGAGGGGAGGGGAAGGAGAAACAGAGGGAAAGAAACATCAGTGTGTGGTTGCCTCTTGAGCACCCCCTACTGGGGACCTGGCCTGGAACCCAGGCATGTGCCCTGACTGGGAATCGAACTGTTGACCCTTTGGTTTGCAGGCCGGCACTCAATTCACTGAGAAACACCAAGCAGGGCTAATGTTACATATTTTTAAATAGTTAACAAAATAAATATGTGATGCACATATTTATTTTATTTAAATAATTGAATTTTGATTGCAACAACCATGAAACAAGAAGAATAAAGACAGAGAAATCAACACAATTCTACAAATGCTTCCAGAAATCACCTAGCGAGCGCTCAGCTCACAAGCTAGGCCAGCTACAGGCCACCAGGCCAGGCTCCAGGGTGCCGAGACTCTTCAGCCACTTTTTTTTTTCCAGATAAAATTAAGTTAATCTAGTTCACAAGATGATTCTTTCTTTTGCGAGGTAATTTCAGAACATTGCTACATAAGCTCTGGTTATGCACTTTAAATATGGATGTATTTTTAATCCAAGTTTCCAGGGAAAGTCACTGAGTAAACTTAGTACTTGTTTTAAATAACAAATGTATAAATGACACAAAATCACAGTATTTTGGAATGTGATGGGATCCTGGAACATTTTGACCAAATGCCCTCATTTTATGAACTAGGAGGCTAAGGTCCATTTTCCGGAGATCCTGAGTTGCAAGAAGCCCACCGAGGAGGAGCTGCCTAGAAACAGAGGGGTGGGGCTGTCCAGGGAAGCCCCTCCCCTTGGATGGGCTCCTCAAACCTGAATGGCTGCCTCTGGACATGTGGCCTGTCAACGGTGGAGCTCATCTCAGCCACCTCAGACCAGCATCCAAGTGAGGTGCCTGGCCTGCTGCCCGCCTTGGGCCCTGACAGTGGGCCTGGGGTAGCAGACCACCAAGGTGCCCTTTGGGCCTGGTCTCCCTCACCTCCCTGGCCCTGCCAGCAGCAATAGCACCCCTAGGAGGAAGGTGAAGGTCCCTGTCAACCTCACCTAGTCTTTCCTTTCCACCTGGGTTATGGTCTGGCTGTTACAATGCGGACACGCCCATTTGTCTTCCAAGTGGATGGATCAGCCTTCACGGGGCCGCTGCCACGGGTGGGCTGGGGTGGGGAGGTGCCCTGTGGGCCCTACCAGCTTTTTGGCCTTGGGGCCCCAGCCCAAGGAGTCCAGGGCTGGGAAAGTATCCATGAATCCGCCCTGCCCTGTGTGGCTCAGTCTGTTGGGCATTGTCTCACAAAGTGAAAAGTGACCAGGAATCACCATTTGATTCCCTGTCAGGGCAAATGCCTGGGGTTGTGGTTCAGTCCCAGGTTGGGGTGTGTGTAAGAGGCAACTGATAGATGTTATTCTCCCTCCCTTCCCCTCTTTCAAAAAATAAAATATTTTTAAAGGATATCCATAAATCTTGTTTCCCCAGGGAGCCCCCATCCCATGGCGGCTTCCTCCAACCATCTGACCAGACTGCGGCCGCAGACACCTGGGACCCCCGGGACCCCCGTCCCTATTCCCCACTTTTTGCCTCAGGTGTGAGATGAGATGACACCTCAGGCCCAGGTCCTGGTGGACTTTCTGGAAAATCATGGGAGTGTCTTTCCAAAGATAAAGGCTGCAGGGCTGGGTGATGCAGCCTCTGTGGACCATCAGCCCCCAGTAGGATTCTGGTCCTGCTGCTCCCTCTCTGTGTGACCTTGGGCACCAACCTTCTCCACTCCGTGCCTCCGTTTCCCTCTCTGAGAGAACATTTTCTTTAGGGCTTTTCGCACAACGCCTGGGATGCTGCAAGTACTATGTAAGGGCAAATAATTATGCGCTCGCAGAGAAGGGGTTGCTGGGAGGAAATGACTACAGTGCCCCAGCGCCAGCCAGGCAGGCTTCCCAAATGCCTCTGAGGTTGATTCATCCTCCCCGGCCCTGGCGTCTGTGTCCCCCTCCGCCCACACACCCACACTGCTTCCCGTTAGTGAGGTGGCGTCCTGTGCTCTTGCCATCCTTGCTCCTCTCTTCCACGCTGCCAGCTTCACCCCGGAAGTTGCCTTCAACCACCCCGACCCTGGTCCCCATGGGAGGCAGACCTGGCTCGGGGCTGTTTGCAGTCTCTAGTCCCTCTCCCTGAGCCCCGGGGGAGCTCGCACAGCCAGGCCTATGGCAGGACCAACCTAGTAGATTCCCAGATGGTTCTTTTAAGCTGGAATGCTTGACTTCCTGTTTTGTTTTCCATCAGCAGTTTTCAAAGCAAAACTTTCTTTCCCATAAAAAGTATTTCTTCAGATTACTGACATTCATCCCACTCTGAGAATGAGGGCGATTTGGGGCTTTTATCTGAATGAAGTTTTAGATTACAGACTGCCCAAGGAAGCAGTGGATGTTCAGAGCCCTGGTTCGACCTGGTGACCTGGGTTCAAATCCCCCCCCCCCCCCCGGAGGAGCTTGCTGGTGATCGGACTTCTGACAAATTACTCAAGGCCTCGCTCAGTTTGTCACTGCAGATAAAAATAGAAAAAAATTCTTCACGATAGACTTGTGGAGACTAAATACAATGTCACAGTAAATGGCTTCTCCAGTGCAGAGACCGGCACAGGAAAAGCCCTCACTGGCCAAGGAGACGGAACATCTCCCTAAGCTCCTCCCAGTCGAGGCTCCACACAGTGGTCCAAACAGAGGGCGGGGCAAAGAGCGAGCTAAAAATTCATGAGAGGAGTTCACAGTGGAAAAAGACTGAATAGAAGACATTAGGAAGGCGAGGGAGAAAAGACTCTGAAACTCAAAGAAGCAACTCGAGGCTCCAACCTGGATCCTCCTCTAATTATAATGAAGGGAGAATTCTGTGTAGTTTTCCAAGAATTTCCGCAGCTTCGGAAGGAGTGCAGCTTGGACAAAGAATGTGAAACATTCGACTGACCCAAAGGTCTCTGTCACTCGTGCAGAAGTTTCTATGGGCCCTTAAAATATACATATATGTGGTGCATATTGCCAAGTGAAAGAAGCCAGTCCGAAGAGGCTACAGACTGCATGAACCCAACTCTGTGACATTCTGGAAAAGGCTAAGCTTTGAAAACAGCAAAAAGATCAGTGGTTGCCAGGGGCTAAGAGAGGGGAGGGAGGAGGATCGCATGGGTGGAACACAGGCGACTTTTAGGATGGTGAAACTACTCTGTATGACACTGTAATAGTAGCTTCCTGGCCTTATAAAACCCCTTAAACTAATGAACATAGAGAGCAAACAACGTAAACTATGGGTTTTAGTTAATAACGACAATGTATCACTGTTGGTTCAATCATTGTAATAAACGTACCACATTAATGCAAGATGTTAATAATGGGGGAAGCTGTGTGCCTGTAAAGGGAGTTATATGGGAATTCTCTGAGCTATCTGCTTAATTTTCTGTAAATATAAAACTATTGTGAAAAATGCAGTCTAGTAATTTAAAGCTTGTGTACTTGCAGGAAGTATGATGTGGTGCAAAGAACATGGGACCTGGTGACAGGGAACGCTGACCGATGGCCACTGGTTAGCTGAGTGGCCCTGGGAAAGCCCCTTGCCCCCTGAGCCTAGTTTTCTCATCCTTAAAATGAGCCATTATGCTTGATTATCTCTAAACATCCCCTCTGGCTTTGAATTGCTGTGCCTTTACTATTAACAACATTTCAGAAGGATAGAGTGACAGACAGTCTGAGTCTCTCAGGAAACAGCCCTATGAGTAAAGTTCAAGGGACGTGTACTGCAAGAAGTTTAGTTCTAGGAGCCTCCCAGGTAAAATAGAAAACGTCAAGTCCCTGCCCGGTGCCTTGGCGAGTCGGTTTTCCCAAATACCACCCGGGCGGTGACAGCAACCGAAACACTAAACAGCTTCCGGTCCCTACCAGCTGGCGGGTTTCTTCCCTTCTTGGCTCGGCCTAGAGTCATATTTTATTCATGAAAATTGAGGCCCTGGGAGGCCTCGGCATAAACAGGATGTAAATATTTGCGGGTGGTGGTGGAGAGGTGGTATTTGAGCAGGGACTGTCCGAAGTGGGGACCTCCAGGACAATGCTTGCTTGGACCCGCCCACCTCCATCTCGTCGATAGGTGGGGGGTGGGAGGCTTGTGCAGCCTGTACCCCTGATTGGAGACCTGGTTTGGAGACTGGTTCCCTCCACGTGAGTGGGGCTGTTGCTTCCCCTGGTGCCATATCCCGTTTCCGTTATCACGGGACCGTCCTCAGCTTGAGACTTAGGACTGGCTTTTGGGCACTTGCCGAAGTGCCAGAAAGCACCTCTTGTGCTTTGTGGAGTCCCTTCCCGTTCCCCAAATTGTACCGTGTTGTGGCGTTGTCCCTTTGCTTATTCCAGTTGTTCCACCTGGTGTGAATTTACCTCTTTGGGCTTCCGCTGGTCTCTAAGACCCCCTCCAGATGTTTGCATTGGACAGCGCCCCTTTCCCGGAACTCAGAGCTCCCCCACCTCTTGGGCTCCCACGGGGCAATAACCCTCGCTCAGCTATAGTTACCTGGCCTGGCGTGGGTGTCACTTCCTCCAAGAAACTGTCCCTCATGTTTCCCCTTCAAATCAGGCCTCCCCACCTCTTGGGCTCCCTTGGGACAATGACTCTTGCTCAGCTACAGTTACCTGGCCTGGCGTGGGTGTCACTTCCTCCAAGAAACTGTCCCTGATACTTCCCCTCCAAATCTGGACTTGAAGCCTTCCTCCACCCCACTGCCTGAGACTTCTGTTTGAGCACCTGCAATGCTGAGCTGAGGCCCTTCCTCTTTATCCTGCACTCAGATAGGGCCCAAACCCTTCGGTCCTGTTCACTAAGTAAATACTTGTTGAATAATTGAATGGATAAATGGACGGATGGGTCGATGGGTGGATAGATGGGTGAAGTCGTAGTGTATTTGCCGCCTGTGGCTGTGGCCATCTTTGACTTGCCGTCACGCCCATGTGTCTGCGCAATGGAAGTCAGACCACCCTCCTTCAGTGCCTTACACTCACTGTGCATTTGTTGTTTATTTTTTGCAGGTCTGTGCACCCAGGATGCTGCCTAGAGCATTATAAGTAGCAGTCTTGGTGGACTTTCACAGGGTAAAAAGGATTTTCAAAGTTACACCCTGCACCCAACAGCTTCAGGTATGAGGAAAACATTTCTGTGAGACATAACTTCTTGGAAATGACACCCTGCCCAAGATTCCCAAAGAATGTGGTGAGCATGTATGGGTATGAGCAGGCATGCTGGAACTAGGCTTCGTTGACTATGTTCTTGACACTCTTCAGATAATGAGACCATGCTTGGCTACTTCTGAGATTAGGAAAAACATGAAATATACACCCCAGATGGGAGCACCAGCCGGCCAGATTGGACCCAGCTGAACTACTCCGTCTGCAGTGGAGGTGGGATGGAAATGGCAGGCACAGCCTCACGCTGAGAAATAATGTCCTGGGGAGACTGCTATTGAAAGAAATGTCAGACTGCCTGGGTGAGGTTTCTTTAAGCACAGTTAATCAACCTCTAATTCATCCTGTGTGAACATGTTGATTATTTTCACTACGTATAAGACTTCTTAGCTTAAAATAGGCTCCGTGATTTAGCAGAACAAATATCCCACAAAACAGAGAGTTCAACAGGAAGCAAAAAAAAAAAAAAAGGACCCGCAGCAGCCTAGAGGGCCTGCCTGGGCCTTCCCATTCCTTCTGGAAGTGCCCAGGCCTCCACGCACACGGCGGTTCCTGCATTTATGGGATGCCTTAGGACAGAGGCTCAGCCCCGGTGTGTGCTCAGGCCCCCAGACCTGCTACGTCAGAAACCCTGTGCCCGGGACTTAGCATTTGGCTAAAACTCTAGGCGATTCTGTGTGGCCAGGCTGGAGAACCTGACGGGGCCCACCCGAGACTCTGCATTTCCAACCTGCTCTCAGCTGAAGCTGATGCTGCTGGTCCCTGGGATACACCGGAAGTGGCAAGACTTTAGGCAGAATAATTTTTCACTTGAAATAAAGTTTTGAGGACACAAGCAGTTCCCAAGTAATTCTTACTGCAGAAGATTAAAACTAACAGAAATGCATGGAGCGAACCATGAGAGAAAGTTTACCCCGCCCCCTTTACCCGCACTCCCTCCACACCACTGTCCTTCCCACGGGGAGATGCAACTGACGTTTGTGGCTCCAGGCAGAGTTATAGCCTCTTTTTAGATACATTAGATTATTTTTTCTGCAACTTTCCCCCCACAAGATTAGTGTCATAGATGGCCTTCATATTTCAGGGACTATGTAGTACGAACATATCATCATACCATGTGGGAATTTACCGACCCATTCCAGCAGTGATGGACTTGTCTTATCATTTCCTGTTTTCTGCCTCCCTAACTGGCTGCAATGAGTACAGATGAGTGCAGTGAGCATCCTAGTACAGATGTCTTTGTGCACATGTGTAAACACTTCTGTAATACAAGTTTCTAGAAGCAAATTCTGGGTGAGAAAGAATGTCCACTGCTCACACATCACGTCTTAGGCAGTTTTTTTGGTGGAACGCCAAATCACCCAGGTGACTCAGCCCCCCTACAACCCAGATTTGACACCCTGTGGCTTCTGGTTTTTCCAAAAACTAAAATCACCTTTGAAAGGGAAGAGATTTCAGACCGTTGGTGAGATTCATGAGAATACGAGGGGGCAGCTGATGGTGACTGAGAAAACTGTGTGAGGTCCCAAGGTGCCTACTTTGAAGGGGACTGAGGTATCCTTATCCTATGTACTATGTGTCTTGTATCTTGTATCTTGTATCTTCTTCAACAACTGTCTCTATTTTTCATAGTACATGGTTGGATACCTTCTGGACAGACTACGCACACACACCAGATTGGAAACCAAAGAAACACAGCCACTCCCCGCTCTCATATGCTGTTGATGGAGCAATAACTGGATGCGGCTGGAAGTGGCTCGGTGCTCTGGTCCCCTGTCCCTCAGCAGACTTGGAACTGGCCACGTGGAGGCCAGGACAGACATGCTGACTGAGAACAGGAAGCAGAAAGCGCTTGGATGAATAAACAAACAGAACAAAATTAGAAGTAAAGACTCCAACAGCCTAAAGATCCTTGCTGTAGAGTGCGGGTGTAGAGTCCCCCACACGCCCGTAGTCTGGGGTCATTCCCACATCACAGCACACACATCACTTGGCCTTGGTGGTAATGACCCTAAAGTGCCAGGGAAAATCCGGTACCCTTGTTTTTAGGAGGGTAAGGAAGTGTGTTAAGCAGTTTTCAAAGTTTCCTAATTGTTAAATTTAACAGAACAGTTAAAATGAAAACCTTGGCATACAGAGGGCACTTAACCATAGCACATCTTTATGTAGAACAGCTTGTTCTCTGGAAGGGTTATTGAAGTATCACTATTCAGGATTTGCTTAAAGCAGGGCAGGCTCTCCTTGAAATCATCAGCCTCACCCACTCTAAAATGCCAGCTTGTGAGAAAAAAATAAATGTCTGAAAAGATGTATCTCAGTGTATTTCATAGACATCTTCTCAGCCCCTCGAAATAGACATGTGGGGAGGCAGGACCAGAGCTTTACTGCTGAGGGGTGTGGAAACCGAAAAGACACTAGTCCTCTTGGACACCTTGGCTCAGAGGCACCGAATTTAGGCTTGTGCTGTGCTTCCGTTTAAGGCCTCGCTCACAGGTCACTTCCCTGTAGAGCCTGGGCCACTCCAGCCACAAGGGACCCTTCCCTTCCTGTGCTCTTCAGGTGTGCGGGACATCTGAACACCTGCCAGGATTCTCAGACTGTGAACTTGTTGTCAAACTCATGTTTGCGTCTCGAACCATGGTTCGAACAGTGCTCCCAGAACAGTGCTCCCAAAACAGTGCTCACATACGGCTGGTCCTCTGTGCGCTGACCATGCAAGAGTCACACCTGGACTCTGTGGCACAGCCTGTCCTTGTTGAAAGGGCAGCCCTCTCTGGAATGGGTGCCTGTGGAGACAGTCCTACTGGGTATCACCCTGTGAACTCATTAAGTGGAATGACAGGAGCAAGACACACACTCGCACACTTGGAGACACAGACCAGATTCAGGGAGAGGCTCAGAGAGGTAGAGCCAGGCACAGAGGGAGGACCTTTCAGGTGGCAGGTGTGCCTCCTCTGTGGACAGAGTGACCTTAACCCCAGGATACCAAGGCCCCCAGGAAGCTCCTGGACTGGCCGAATGTCCTCAGGCAGACGTGAGAGCAGCTGCTCAGACACGGGAGGAGCACAGGCTCAGGAGAGGGAGGACCTTTAGGTTGAGTCCGGGCTCCATCTTCTGCACACAGAGAAACCTGCGGTGCCATGTGCCTCAGTTTCCAAACCTGTAATGGAGGTAATTACAACCTCACAGAAGAGTTTTGAACAAAAGCATAAAGCCCTTTTACCTGGTCCAATTGTTAGTTACTGTCACGGACCCTCCGCAGGGCCTGAAGACAGTCACCAGCCCCAGACGCTGAGGGGGGGCCAGGTTGGCAGGCTGCGAGGCAGCCGCCCAAGGTGGACGAGCAGGCCTGAGGTAGCGGCTGTGGGCTGAGCATGCATTTGCAGCGGGGCCTCATCGAATCTCAGCAGCCCTCAGTTTTCTCATCTGTAATAATAGTACTTGGCCCTGATGGGTGTGGCTCAGTAGATTAGGTGTTGTCCTGCTAACTGAAAGGTCACCAGTTCAAGTCCCAGTCAGAGGTTCAGGGCACATGCCTGGGTTGCGGGCCAGGTCCCCCAGTTGGGGGGCTGTGATAGGCAACAGATCCATGTTTCTCTGGTGCATTGTTGCTTCTTTCTCTCTGTTTCTCCCTCCCATCCCCTCTCTCTAAAAATAAGTCAAATCACCCTGGCTTGTGTAGCTCCGTGTTTTGAGTGCAGGCCTGCAAACCAAAGGGTCAATGGTTCAATTCCCAGTCAGGGCACATGCCTGGGTTGTGGGCCAGGTCTCCAGTAGAGGGCGTGCAAGAGACAACCACATGTTGATGTTTTCCTCTCTTTCTCCCTCCTTTCCCCTCTCTAAAAATAAACAATAAAATCTTTTTAAAAAATCAAATCTTTAAAAAAAATAATAGTACTTGACTATTGAATGGCACTTTGAAAAATTCCCTCCGGACACTGCTGGTTGGATTGTGTGCTAGAACCACCTTTCAGGACACCGGTGGCAGCGCCGGCCCTGCGGGAATGTGGCTTCCGGTGCCCACTGAGACAACTTCTGTCCACTGAAAACGTTACTTGGAAAGTTACTTAAAAACTTTTGTTTTTGCCTTGTGAAAGTTACAAATTTAAAAAACCTCATTCTTCCTCAAACTTTCAAGTTTGCTTTACAAATCTTACTTTTCTTCTTTTAACTCTGGCAAATTTTGACAATAACTTTTAAAGGTCTTTTTAGACTCTGTATAATTAAATTCTCTGAAGTATTTTAAATGACACTTACAGGTTTAATATATTTGGTTTTCTTTTTAAGTATCTCAGTTTTCTGCCAAACTTTCAAAGTACTTAAATGTATCTTATAAAGCTAATAAATCAAATTTGTAATATGCTGAATCTCAGCTTTTTTTAAACATCTGAATACTATTTATAAATTTGGTAAATTTCAATCTAAAATCACTTTTTAAAAAAGTGATTGCCAAGTTCTCATAAGCATTTCAAATTATTTTTTAAAAGATTTTATTTGCTTTTACAGAGAGGAGAAGGGAAGGAGAAAGAGAAGCAAAGAAACATTGATCGGTTGCCTCTCACGTGCCCCCAGCTGGGGACGTGGCCTGCAACCCAGGCATGTGTCCTGACTGGGAATCGAACCAGGGACATTTTGATTCCCAGGCTGGCACTCAGTCCACTGAGCCACACCAGCAAGAGATCAAATTCTCTAACATATCAAATGTATAACAATTGTGTATGAGTGCTACAAAAAATACTAATACAAAATTTTTATTTTCTCCATCATGTCTGTACTTCTGAAACTCCCTGAGATTACCCACTGATACAAAAACATTCACCAATGTCTGCAAAAGGTCAAGCGCTCACTATTCAGGGCACTGACGATAGCAGTGGCTGATAGAGAAAATCCTTGCCATCATGAAATTTATTCCAATGGGGGACACATTCAATACATACAGAATAATACACTGACAGCTAGAGTTATATGTTATGGAAAAAGGAAAGCAGAGTAGAGAAGAAAAGAACTTTTGGGAAGCAGGAAGGCTCAATGAATGAAGGACAGCAAGCAGAGACCAGAATGAGGTAGGGGCAAGCCACGTGGACGTCCAAGGGAAGAGTGAGTGCAAAGGCCCTGGGGTGAGGGTGTCCATGGGCTTTCTCATTTCGAGCAAGGAGGCCCGTGAGACAGGAATCAAGTGTGTGAGGGTAAGGGTGGTGGAAAGGGAGGTTTTTATTCCACCTTGACCCTGAGTATTCTGCGAGGATTTGTCTGGAGACCTTCCAAAGAAAGCCATTTCAATGATCCTTATTACATTGGAGATGCCCTTACCTGGGACCCCACAGTTCTCATTCTAGGCATTCACTCTAGAGAAACTGCTTCAGAAACACAGTGGAATACACTATGGCAGAAAACAAGTGCATTCCTTCAGCAAGTTTTTATTGAGTACCTACTCTATGCCGGGCAGTGAACAAAAGAGACAATTTTACATTCTATAAGGTAATAGGAAATAGACTGATTAGATAAACCTCGAAAACATCATGTTAAGTGAAAAACAAAACAGACTGAAAGTTATTCATAGAATGATTCAATTTATGGAAAATTTAAAAATCGACCACACTGGCCAAACAATAATACATCCTGTTAACAGATAATCTAAATCTTATCAAAGTAAAAAAGTATATAAAACACATAGGCCCTGGGTTCAGACTGTCTAGTCTAGAGTCAGTCTTCCCCTAGGCACCAAGAGACACTGGGGAACCTCTTTGTGCCTCAGTTTCCTCTTCTGTAAAGAGGGAGTGAAAAGGAAAGAGAAAACAAGACAGTGGAGAGCTGTAGCAGTATCCATGTGTTATTTCTTCTTTAAAAACAGAGACAAAATTGTAATAGCTGTCTTGACAGTGAGCACATGAACAGTGATATTATTTTCAGTATGCTTGAAATGTTTTATAATGTAAAATTTAGAAATTAAAAGATCATAAAACAAAAGGAAACACTCCTACACGCCTGACCCCACACACACCCTTGCCTCCCTCCACACCACTTGCCACGTGGCAAGGAGAGTGACCCACAGTGTGAACCGGGTCAGGTAGCTTTACCTCGCCGCCTCCGCCAGGGGCTCATCGCTCCCGTGCTACCCTGGGCTCACCGCTCTCCAACCCCATTCCCACTGGTCCCGGACTGACCACCACGGCTGCTCCACCCTCGCTGTCAGTCAGCCATTCACCCCTTCAGCACAGGGCACAGCTATGCTGGGCCAGCCGTATAGGCAAAGGGCATCATAGTGACCAGGACAGTTTGTTCCCTTTCTCAAAGAGCTGTCATTCTGGAGGTCGGAACAATCGACAAACAAGGCAGTAAACCCAGGTAATTACAGATTGTGGATAAGTACAATAAAGAACTGAACAAGGCGATAGGGAAGAGAGCAGTGAGAGACAGGGAGGGTGTGAGGATGGCCTTGCAGGCAAGGCCATCGGATCTCAGATCTCACGACAAAATGCCTGTCCCCAGGTGGGGTGGGACCCAGTTGCTGATATCCCAACAATCATTCGGTGCCTTTCTAACACACCATAATTAGAATGAAGTAAATGTCTGTTTGGCTGCTTGGTGTCTGTTAGTGACCTGAGGGCCAGAAGCTTGCCATGTTCACACATCCTGTGTCTATCACAGTGGCTGCAGGCACTAAATCAATATTAGTTAAACACAGAAACCAAGAGTCTGGCTAAACCAGCTTCCAAACTCTACGAACCTACTCAGAGCAATTCATGAGGACACATGTTACCCAAATGACGAAGTTTTACACTATAGATATATTTAGGAAATATGCTTTTTCACTACATAAGGAGCCTTTTAATACTGAAAATGCTAATAAGAATGTCAGAGAAACTCTAATGGTGATG